ATAGATAGATAGATAGATAGATAGATAGATAGATAGATAGATAGATAGATAGATAGATTGACTCAGCTTTCCGTCCTTCCGAGGCGAAATGAGGACCCAGACTGTGGGGGCGATATGCTGACTCTGTAAACCGCTTAGAGAGGGCTGAAAGCCCTATGAAGCGGTATATAAGTCTAACTGCTATTGCTATTTATGACCATATCACTAACTGATAGCAGTCCCAGTTTCCATTGTAGGTCAAAGAATGCCTGTTTGTAGGTAGTTTTTATTTAAGGAATAATACTCTATCATTACACCATATGGCAAACTAATACCAAAAATACTGCCAAATGCCCAAGTCCATGCTGTAATGTATCAGTTTTTATTTCTACCTCTGTTGGTTTTTTTATTTTTGTCTTGTACTTCTTTGCAGAATTTGATTTCCCTATCCATCTTGTACACTTTTCAAAAATGCAACTGTATCTTTGTGCTCTACAGCAGGGGTGTCAAACTGGATTTCTTCAAGGGCCGGATCGGCACTGTAGTTCTCCTCTGAAGGCCGTCTGGGGAGAGAGGGGGAGAAGGGACCGACACTTCCTGCAGCACCCTGGCGGCCCAAATGGGGCTGTTTTGTATGGCATAGTATTTTGGAGGAGGCCGCCAGGGCACAGGGGCCTCGCATGGCCCACTGCCAGAGGCACAATGGGACTTTGCTATTTCCAGGCCAGATGTAAGCACCCCACAGGTTGGATCGGCCCAGAAGCCTTGAGTTTGACACTCCCGCTCTACAGTGTTCTTGCTAGAAAATAATACTATATTGCTAATGTATTTGATGAAGCATCTTCCATAAATATTTTAGACAAATTGACTCTGTTCTCATGAGGATTAACCCAATCCAATGAAGTGAGCAAGTCTGCATTATCTATTTGTAGGAGATATGCAGCTGCAGCCACATCTTAGCTGACCATCTTAGCTCATGCTGTTTCACAAATATCTGTTTTGTACTATTGTGTCAACATACAAATGTAACCTCTGGGCTTTGGGATGAGGTTTTATAAATACGTTTATAAAAACAGATGTTTCAACTATGCTGAGATGTTATCTGAGGGAACAGTAGAAATATGACTTTGGTTTTACACGAATGAAGGCAAAGGCAAGGCATTTGGTTTTACAATTGTTCATTATTTGTATTTTCTACAGCCTTTTGACTTGTTCACAATTCTTGTGAACAGTTTACAAGAATTATAATTAATTTTGTAATCATAAGTTGTTGTTTTTTAAATGGCCATACTGGGAGAAAACACCACAAATTAAATAACAATATCATAACAATTAGGTCACAAAACACCCCATCGTATATGGGAATGGCTACTTATTTAAAGTTCTTCTAGGCTCCATAATTGAACAGTTTTAAGTTATTTATTTAAATAGAAACATACTGTAGATCATAAGAAAGTCCCTTGGATTGCAATCCATCCCTGTTGTGGAAGGGATTCTACTCTCACTGAAAATACTTCGTCTTGAAAGATTTGCTTCAACTACCAATAATGAAGCAATTAATTAGAAATGTTTTTGCATAATTACGTTTGTTGCTGCATTTTCCTGAGTGTCAAAAAGATTTGCACAAGTTTTAGTGACTGAAAAATATGGCAGCAGACTGTTAATCAGTACATAATGGGGTTACTACAGGTAGTCATCAGTTTATGATTACAGTTTAGGCCAAAATTTCTGTTAAATGAAACGTTTAAGTGAGTTTGACCCATTTTACTACCTTTCTTGCCAGTTGTTAAGTGAGTCACTGGAGTTGTTAGCAACACAGTTATTAAATGAATCTACCTTTCCCACTGACTTAGCTTGCCAGTGGGTCGCAAAAGGGGATCACATGACTCCAGGACACTGCAGCTGTCATAAACATGAGAATTGCCAAGCCTCTGAATTTTGATCACATGACTATGGGGAAATCTCTGGTCACAAATGTGAAAATTGATAAGTCACATTTTTCAGTGCTGTTGTAATTTTGAACTATCACTAAATGAACTGTTGTAAGTCAAGGACTACCTGTGTATCATTCTCACACCAATTGTGTTTGTGTGCATGTGCCTTTGAATCAAGAGCCGAGGTGGTGCAGTGGTTAGGGTGCAGCACTGCAGGCCACTTCAGCTGACTGTTATCTGCAATTCAGCGGTTCTAATCTCACCGGCTCAAGGTTGACTCAGCCTTCCATCCTTCCGAGGTGGGTGAAATGAGGACCCAGACTGTGGGGGCAATATGCTGACTCTGTAAACCACTTAGAGAGGGCTGAAAGCCCTATGAAGCAGTATATAAGTCTAACTGCTATTGCTATTGCTAATTAGTTTTTGACTCCTACTGATTGTCTTAACAAGTCCATGTAGTTTTCTTGGCAGGGTTTTTGAAAAGTAGTTTTCCGTTGTCTCCTTCCTAAGGCTGAGAGAGGGATTGTTTTAAGATCAGCCAGCTGGCTTTCTGCCTAAGGCAGGACTAGAACTCACTGTCTCCCGATATGTATTCAGTGCCTTACCCAATACACCACTGTCAACAAATTTATTCTGCATTTTAAGGACTTAAATGTCTGCAAAATATGTGTGTGTGTGTGTACACACAAACTCACACACTTTAGAATGTACAGGAAAATCCATTTTAACTACCAGCAATATGAATAAAAAAAATAACAGAAGCACAAAAGGAAATAGTGATTGATTTGAAATCCTTTACTTTTTACTTTTAGTAGATATACAATGTAAGTTTTTTAAAAGGGAAAAAAAGACTATTGAACCCCTAGCATAGCGCAAGACAAACCTATAATCTACAGTAGTAAACTGACTACATGTTTCTAGTTTAATCTGTCAAGTATTCTGTGGGTCCCATATTCCATTTATTAAGTGATCATTTCAGGTTAGCTGTATTTGATAGCTGTATTTCAGAGTCAGAAAAAAAAAAACCATTAAAAATAATTTGGACAGTTTCACTTCGACATGATGCCAAATGTTGATGTCTACATTTGTCATAAGAATCCGTACAAAGAATCCACAGTAATGTGTGTGGAGGGGCGGATGATGGCATTATTTAACTGACGCCAGAAGATATACTACAGAAGTGATAAGAGCATTGCTGATTATACATAAATGTTAAAACAGTTCGAACTATGTATATAAGTACTTTTCTTCTGTTTAACACATTTACTTGTGGTCAGGAAGCCATGTCAAAAAATTAGTGGAGAGGAGTTAATTGACATTTAACTTATTTTTTTTTTCATTAACATACAAGGCTTTTGCAGCATCAGAAATTAAAACTAAAATCAGACTTTCCCCCCAAAATATATATAATCTATAAGCATGCATAAATAATGCCAGGTTAATTTCAGGACTCAGAAAATACTTTCACATAGCTTCAACACTGATTGATTAAATTTCAACTAAAATGTGGCAGTTGCAAAAGGAGCCAAGCAAAGAGGAATAAATGTATAAAATAATTTGAGTATACCTTTGAGGAACAAAAAAAAAAAAATCATACCACATTCAGTTAAAAAAAAACAAGGAAGATCTAAGCACTTTCTGATGATATTCAGGATAGCACTCAAAAATAAAGTTAAAGAACAGCTCAATAATAAGATTGCAATCACTGACTTAGCAGGTAGAAGAAACAGAGGCAATATTCAAAAATCCTTCAGTCTTTTCTCCAATAACACTACAGTAAGCCAGAAGGAAAAGTGCTGATGTAGAAATCACAGCAACAGCAACTAAACTAATTAAAAATTATGTGAAGATGTTTCAAGGATCCGACTGAATAAATAACATCTGCAGAAGAAAAACAATGTTTATACTACAGAACTTTCAGAAGTCTCCACTACACAACGAAGATTAAAAAGTGTTTTCTCAGGAGTTGCCCATAACTATCACACAAGCAACCAAAAGACAAATTACTGTATAAATTGTGCACTTTCACAAATGTCTAGCAATCTTATTTCACTTTAGGGATTTCAACTGATCCGTTTATTTCATCATGACTTCTGTTCT